GCTATTAGAGATTGGTCCACCTCTAACAGAATCCTGTGACAAATGGATCCACCTCGAATGGGATCCTATTAAGGATGGACCCACCTCTAGTAGTATCTGATTAGAGATGGATCTAATGGAATCCTAGTGCGGATGGATCCATCTCTAACAGAACCCTATGACATATGGACCCACCTCTAATATAATCCTATTACATATGGGTCCACCTCTGAGAGAATCATATTAGGGATGGGTCCACCTACCTCTGATGGGGTCCTACATGACATGAATCCACCTCTAATAGAATACTATTACATATGGATCTACCTCTAATAGGATCGTAATACAAACGGGTCCACCCCCAATTCAATCCTACCAGAATCCTGATACAGATGGGTCCACTTCTGATGGAATCCTATTACAGATGGATCCACATCTACTAGAATCCTGGTACAGATGGATCCATCTCTAATGGAATCCGACTACAGCTGGATCCACAATTGATGGAATCCTATGAGAGATGGGCCCATCTCAACTGACAGTCTATTACAGATCGATCCGCTCCAAATGGAATCCTAACAGAGATGGGTCCACCTTTTTAATACAATCCTGATACACATGGATTCACCTCTAACAAAATCCTATTACACATGGATCCACCTCTACTTGCATATTATTAGAGATGGGTCCACCTATAATGGGATCCGATTAGACATGGATTCACCTGTAATTGAATCCTATATGAGATGGATCCACCTCTAGTGGGGTCCTATTAGCGATGGATCCACCTCTAAGACCATCCCATTCCAGATATTTCCACCTAATAGGATCCGATGAGAGATGGATCCACCTCTCATAGAATCCTAGTAGCGATTGACCCACCATTTACACCCCCTCCCTACAGAAGGTTTTCTTTTGTGGCGGATTACGAATTGATTCCTTTTGTGGCAAAATATACAGTGATTCCTTTTGTGTCGGATTACAAATAGATCCCTTTTGTGGCGAATTACAAATCAATTGTGTTTGTGGCGGGTTTCAAATTGATTCCTTTTGTGGCGGATTTGAAATGGATTTCTTTTGTGGCGGATTACAAATTGATTACAAGGATGATGATGATGCTGGTGATGGCGATGCAACGCAGCAAAACGAGGTGGTACGCACACACGGTTTTATCAACTCCACCCCCCCTCCCCCCCCCTCCCCCCCTTTTCCAGGGGGGGGGGGGCTTAAGCTAGCCCTCCTCCCCTGGCGCCGCCCTGCTGGAAGCTACCCCCCCCCTCCCTTTCGCGCAAAGAGGGGGGGTGGGGGGGGAGGGGGGGGGGGGGTTGGAAACTACCCCCCCTTTGGCCGCACCGGAAGCCCCCCCCCATGCCTCCCTTTCAATAGGGAGGAGGGTGCTTTAGCTACCCCCTCCCCCTCCCTTGGAGCCGCCCTGCTGGAAGCGCACCCCCCCCTTCCCCCCTTTGTGCCAAAGGGGGGGGGCTTGGAAGCGCCCCCCCCTTCCCCCCTTTGGCCGCCCAGCCCCCGGAGCCTCCGGCCTCCCTTTCGCCGACGATCCAAAATCAACAATCCACGATCGAGGATGGACGATCGACGATCAACGATCGACGATCGAACATCCCAATCGAATCGCTTGCAATCGATTTCACCCCATTCCACTGATCGCTCCTTCCCCTCCCTCCCCACCCTTCGTTCCATCTCCTCCCTCCCCTCCCTCTCCTCCCCTCCCTCCCTTCCATCCTGTCCCTCCCCTGCAATCCAATCGATTGAATCGATTGCAATTCAACCGATTGCAATCCAATCGATTGCAATCCAATGGGTTGCAATCGAATCGTTTGCAATCCAATGGATTGCAACGATTGCAACGCAGTGCATCATTCAACTCGTCCCGTGCCAACGCCAGGGAACGCAACAACTACTATTATGCTATACTCGTGTCATGGGCAAATCAGGAATCCACAATATGCAATCCTGGAGGAACACACAAATATCATTCTACTCTACTCCTCCCTTTGCGACGCTCTCCCCTCGTTCCTCTTCCTACCCTCCGCACCCTCCGCCGCCTCCATATCCTCCATCCCCTCCCTCCCCTCACTCCGCCCCCTCCGCTCCCTCCGCCCTCTCCCCTCCATCCCCTCCCTCCTCTCTGTCCCCTCCCCCCCCTCCATCCTCTCACTCTCTTCCCTCCCCTCCCTCCCTCCCCTCCCTCCTGTCCCTCCCATGCATTCCAATCGATTGTAATCAAATCGATAGGTGATGGGCGCACCTGCCGGCCCATCCATCCTCGCCTGACGCTCACGTAAATCCGCCTTTTCACCGTAAACCATCGCTCGGACGTCCACTCCCCGTGCATGCTCCGAGTCCGCGCGCGCCTGCTGGGGAAGATGCTCCAGGATGCTCCTCCACGGCCCTCGCCGAGAATCGGCTGTGGACAAACCTCCATTTACCATGCCGCCCTTTAGCGAAAACGGCCTACGACCGAAACCGACGGGCCCGGACCCGCACGCATGACGGCCGCGACGCCCCCTCGCGAACCGTAAACGGCAGATTCGCTAGTCGACATGTCAGGGCTGGAGTTCTGTCCTCCCCCGAGAGAGACATGCGCACGCCCGAGCGAGGGCCGCGCTGCAGCTCCCCCGCGCCTGCCTCGGCCGCGCGGGCCCGCCCGAGCCCGCGCGCCCCGCCTCGGGGTGGCCCCCTGGGCGGCCCCGCACTGCCGCGAGGCGCACCCGCGGCGGCCCAGCTGTGAGCCCCCGAGGGGCGCCACGGGGGGCCCGAGAGGCTCCCGGGGCACTCGAGGGAAGGCCGGGAGGCCGTCCGGGGAGGCCAAGAGCATCGAAGCACCTCAGCAATGCCTCGGGTGCCTGCAGCATCGTGGGGTTCCCAGGTCTTCGGCTCGAGATGGCTACAGGAAGAGCTGGAAGGAGCCCAGTGAGGGCCACACAGGCCCCCCAGACGGCCGAGGAGAGTCTCAAGAGGGCCCCATGGCGGCCATCGAGGCGAGGTGACAGGGTGACAGGGCAGTTCACGAGAGCGTCCCAGGATGACCAAAGAGGGCCCCAGGAGGCCCCGAGGGAGCCCCAAGAGTCTCCCCAGACGACAAAGAAAGGCCCAAGACGGTCCAAGAAGGCGCCAAGACGGCCCAAGAAAGTCTCAAGACGGTCCAAGAGGGCCCCAAATCACCTAATCCCACGACGGCCCAGGCAGATCCTGTGAGATTCCCTCGGGGAATAGAGACGAAAAGTGTCCTATCTCACGGCCTCCAGGGTGGCAGGATCAGTCAGCATCAAATCGGGAATTCAGATCGAACCGAACGTGCGTCTGATCGGGGGGGCATCGCCAAGGAGTCGATCGAAATCGCATCGGATCGGCTGCACCAGGATGCAAAGCAACGCCATGCAAGCATCGGGCAGCAGCGGATCGTCGATACATCGGAGTCGAATCCGCTCGAGCTGGCCAGAACGGAGGACGAATCGGATCGAGAGGGTTCCCTGGGGCGGTGCCCGAAGCGTGGCCACAAAGAGTGCTGCGCTGGCACGGTGGCGGAGCTTGCCGCAGGCAGCTGCATAAAAAACACGTTCGGCCCTCGCTGCTGCGACCGAGGCCCCCGCGGGCCAGCACCTGTACGCCGCGGTGCCTGGCCAGGGCCATGCCTTTGCCCCGGCATGGTGCACATGCCCTCCAGGCCCTCCTGGCCGAGGCCGGGAGGATCTACACATCTGTATAGGTATGCGTATATCCGCCGATCCGGGGTGAGAGTTTCTGAGAGCGTGGACTTGAGCTCGCTCAAGCTTCGCTCTGCAAGGGGGGGGAGGGGCGCCATTCCCGACGCATTTGGTGCTCGGGGACGACGGGTCCTCAGGCCCCCAACAAGCCCCCAGGAGGCTCTGGAAGGGGGGAGGCGGGGACGCCATTCCCGACGCATTCAGTGCTCGGGGGCGGGAGGGGCCACAGGCCCCCAAGAAGGCCCCAGGAGGCCCCCAAGAGGCCCGAACGAGGCCCCAAGAGGCCCCAAAACGACACCCAAGCGGCTTCCCCAGGTCCCTTGCTCAATCCCCTGAGCCTCAGTCCGCAAGCCTGAGGACTCTTAATGGGCCCGGACCCCAAGGTCTCAAATCTCTTGAGGCTCCCCACGCGCCTTCTGGGGCCCCCAGAATGTTCCCGCATCACTTTTTCGAGCCCATCAGAGGCCCTAGACGGGCCAACAGAGCCACGGGAGATCCTCAAGGCGGCCCAAGAAAGCCCCGAATCACAGAACGATCGGTCCAAGACGCCCAAGATGGCCCCATGGACATTAACATGATAAGCATCGTCATTATCATTGTCACCACCACCACCATCCTCCTCATCCTCCTCCTCTTCCTCCTCCTCTTCCTCCTCATCATCATCATCATCATCGTTATCATCATCATCATCATCATCATTATCCGGAGCGCCCCAGATCGGCGGCACTGGCCGGAGGCCAGCACAATATATAATATATTATATATATATATATATATATATATTATATATATATATATTATATATATAATATAATATATATATATATGTATATCTGTATGCATGATCGTAGGTCTGTCTGTCGGTCGGTCTGTCTGTCTGCATGCATGCATGCGTGAATGCATGTATGTATGTATGCATGCATGTTTCTATGCATGTATGTATACATGCATGCATGATTGTATGCATGTGTGTTATAGATGTATGTGTGTAGGTATCTGGATACGTAAATGTATATGTATGTGTATATGTATATGTGTTTGTGTATTTATATGTATATGTATAAGTATATGTGTATGTATACGTATATGTATATGTATATGTATATGTATATGTATATGTATATGTATATGTATGTGTATATGTATATGTATATGTATATGCATATGCATATGTATGTGCACATGCATATGTACATGTATATGTATATGTATATGTATATGTATATGTATATGTATATGTATATGTATATGTATACGTATATGTACATGTCTATGCATATGCATATGTATATGTATAGCGTCGCACATTTGCTCAGGGGTCCGACGGCCGCGGCGCCAAGCTTCCGCGGGCGCATCGTGCTGCGCCATGGTGTAACGTGTGCCCCCCCGCCCGCTCGGGGGGCCCTGGGCTGGGCGCCGCGGCCCCTCCTGGCGGAGGGCGCGCCCATGCCTCCGATGCCGTGCGGTGAGGCGCCCCTGTGGGGCGAGCGCCCCCGCTCTAAGGCGCAGCGCCGCGCCAGACGCCGCTTGCTGCTCGCGGTGAGCCGTCAGGCGGCGCTGGACTTCTCCCTCTTCGGTTACCCGTACGACTGCGGCTACCAGTGCGACGGCGGCTACGTCTGCGACTACGATGCTATCGCGCCCCAGTCGGCGGAGGAGGCCGTCCTCGAGGGCCTGGGCGTCGACGCGGGGGGACGGGAGGGAGCTGTTCCTGAAGGCGCTGCACCTCGCGGAGTTGTTCCTGCTGTTCCTGTTGAGGGCTCTCTTCCTGAAGGCGATGTTCCTGCTGATGGCCTTCTTCCTGAAGGCGCTGTACCTCGTGGAGATGCCTTCCGTGCGGGTGACGACGCCGATCTCTGTGATGCTGTGGATGGGTGTGTTCGTGCCGGGTCTGCGGCAGCTCGTGCCGACCCACCTCTTCCTCCTGGTGTTCGTGCTGCTGCTGGTGCGGGTCCGCCTGAAGGCGCGGAGCTTCCTGGAGACGGTCCTCGCGCTGGTGCCGCTGTTGTTCCTCGTGCTTCTGCTGACGGATGTGTTCGTGTCCCTGGACCCGTTCTCGGCCACGGGGTTCCTGGTCTCGCGGCGCCTGCCTCCGAGGCCACCACGTTCGCGACGGCGCCTCTCTCGGAGGTGTCGCTGGGCGCGTCGGAGTCTGGAGACGGGCCTGGTGCCTGGTCCGAGGGGCCTGGCGAGGCGGTCTCGCCCAGGACGGCGGACATGGCGGACTTTGCGTATCCGAGGGAGCTGGGGGGGCTGGCGCGGGCAGCTCTGCTGCGATACGTCGACATTGGGCTGCCGCCGTGCCCTGATTGTGGGCAGGAGCTGGAGGCCCTTCATCTCGATCGGGCTACGCGCAATTGGCTCCGAATGCGCACGGACATCGAGTGCTGGTACTGCGGGGACGTGTGCGTCCACGCGGCTTTCTGCCACGCCTGCGGCTTGCTGCGCTGCGACGCGTGCTCGTTCCACCTGGAGGTCGACGAGGAGGAGAAGCTTATGCTCGAGGACCCCGACCTCGCGCGCGACCATGTCGACCACGTCCTCAATGGGCAGCGCAGGGACGAGGGCGCGCCCATCGTGGACGGCAGGTTCTTCGTGGGCCACGAGGTGGGGATACACGGCTTGATCAAGCGGCCCGAGCTCAACGGTCGGCGGGGTCAGGCGGCGCCAGCGCTACACATCTGCAACCTGAAGCTAGCGAGCGTCGTGGGCGGTGGGCGCCGACGTGGCTGCTGCATCCGACGACGTCGGATTCGCCGGGCGCGGCGGGCCGGCCTCCTGCGGGCGGCCGGGGCTCGCGCCAGCGGTCGCAGGCCCGAGCGGCGCTCCGCCGCCATCTGTGCCTCTGCCGGGGCGCTCGCTCGGCGGCGGCGCGGGGGCGGCGGCGGGCGGCGGAGCGGCGGCGGGCGCCCTCGGGGCCGCCGCTCCTCCTCGAGCGGGGGCCCTCGAGCGGCGAGCGCCGCGGGGCCCGCCTCGTCCTCCTCTCCTCCGCCTGGGGTCCTGGGCCGTCTCGGGTTCCTGTCCTGGGGCCGCCCTGGTTCCTGGGTCCTCGTCGCCTCGGCTTGCGTCTTCGTTTCCCGGCGGGCCATGGGGTCGCGCTCCTCCTCTCGGCGGGGGCTCTGAAGCTACAGCGGCGCCTTCGACTGGCGCCCATGCTGTTCAAATAAAAATGTATATGTATATGTTGATGTAGATGTTGGTGTAGATGTATATGTGTATATGGATGTTCTGACCGTCGCCGTACTAATGCAGGGCCCCGAGCGAGCTCTCTTCGGGGTCTCTTGAGGCAGTTTTCAGGCCGACTTGGGGGCCACCTGGGCTGTCTGGGGCCCTTTGAGAAAGTCTCGGTCCGTCAGGGCGATCCTGGGGGCCCCTTGGGGCTGTTCTGAAGCGGAGTGACTGAACTAATGAATCAATGAATCAATTAATCAATGGCATTGGTACTCTCTGCCAGCGCGCGCGCAGCGCCATGGGCCCCCCCGCCGCCTCGCGCGCAGACACGCCGCGCAGCGCAGAGGAAACGCCCGATGGCACGAGGAGCCATGGCCGAGACAGAAATAAAGGGAAGGAGCAGAGGACGAGATTGGGGAAAAGCAAAGTTCACGAGCGCGAGCGCCACTTGACGCGCGGAGGGCAATCCGCGACTCCAGAGAAGCGGATGGGGAGGACGACAGACGGCGAGCGCCGCAGAAGCGACGCACTATAACTGCACTGCCCGCCAAGCGCCCGTGCGCCAAAGCGGCCAAGAGCTCAGCAGATCTCATCGCCAGAGAGCTCTGGCCCCTCGGCCGCGACC